GAGTTTCCATCAACCTTATGTTCTACTTGAAACCAAATTGCACGAAATTAGCGAAATACGCTCATTTGCAAACTAATTTGGTTTTGCGACAGACTCGCCCGGAACCCCATCTGAATCCTTCGTTTGTGGTAAAGAGTAAATCTGGTGAGAAACTAACAACACGAACGCCACCGATATCGATCAGCCGCCATTCATTGCAGTGTCCTTAGCCAGGCGTAGGGGGGATCACGGGGACCCAAACTCTTCGCAATCTCTTTCACACATGTGGAAGGTGCATGCAGATGCCAGGCTCATACCGTCACGTTGAGACTGGACCCTACGGTTTGAGTGCCTCCATTGAGCTATACTGTGTGGTGTTCGTGCGACACTCAAGGTCTCATACCGGGTTGGTCAATGGTGTAGCACCCTTTCGGTGTCTAGCTGTCATGCCACACGAATGAGGCACGAGGGCTGGGATACTGCCAGGTTGTCCAAGCCTAGACAGGGGAAGTCGAGAGGCAGAGGTCGGGTTCGAACCACGGACCTTCCGGTCAGTAAATTCGCGCTCTAACCACTTGTTCCACCTCTGGCGTTGAGGTGCTGTAGTATATATCGCGCGCATTTGCACAGTATATTCATATTAGGTAGTTGGTTGTCAACAAGAATTTTCCGCTTATTGATTCAAAATGTTGATGTCAAATAAAAGATTCTTCAACCTCCCGCCTCTATTTTCTGATCTTCTAAACAGCGAAAAGAGTGTAGCGAAACAACGGGAGTTGTTGGAGAACGCACGCGCCGAGGAACGGTCCAAGGGCGTCAAAAAGGTTCGTGTGTTGTCTTTCGTTTGATTCAATAAAGTTGCATTCATGTGTCATACACTTCTCCGGCCGGATGTAATTTCAATCCTCCTGGTGTTTGTGTGTGTGTGTGTGTGTGTGTGTGGCGGAGAAACAACTTTTTACTGGGTTGCAAGGACTGGTTCTCTAACTGGAGGTATTTCTCCGACCGAAGGCAGTTCATGCTGAAAAGTCCCCAAAGCACTGCACAGCAGCTTCGTGTCTGTTGAGAATCATCTGCTTGAACTCGCAGGCCCTCACCTGTGCGTTCAAACGCCACCACTTAGTGTCAGCTGACTGATTAGCAATGTGGGTAACGTACACTTCGACAAGATATAGCGTCAATATCGCTAGCTTACTTCATGTGGTTTATTTTCGACTGGCTACTTGAGTGATGAGCTTTTCTTTTAGAAAGATCCATGTGACTTTTTGAATGATTTCACTTCTGTGAAGGTTACCCATGTCTTGCTGACTGATTAGCAATGTGGTTAACGTACACGTCGACAAGATATAGCGTCAATATCGCTTGCTTCCTTCATGTGATTGGTTTTCGACTGGCTACTTGAGTGATGAACTTTTTTTTAGAAAGATCCATGTGACTTTTTGAATGATTTCACTTCTGTGAAGGTTACCCATGTCTTGAAAAGTGTGAGCTGCACTCAAAACCGTAAGATCTTCGTGCACACGAGAAGTTGATCTCTCATCCCAACACTCCCCTCCTTTTAGAGTAAACCGTGGTCCAAAGCGAGGGAAACGCGAGAAAAGAAGAAAATCGTTCGACAAAAGCGCCGGCATGCCAAGGAAGGTGATTCTGTCCGTGCAAACAAACCAGTTGCGCCAGTCGATGTATCAGCTGATGAGATTGATGAGGCCGATTTGGATGAATTGAGTGAAGACTATCGCTTGTGGAAACTAGCCAAAAGACGCAAGGTAAACGTCTGAGCACCTTTGTTGATTTCTGAGTAATTTGACATTCTTTCCCACAGCAACAGTGACGCGATAAAATGGATACGAAGCCCTGGCCTTGTGAAAGGTGTGAACTCAGACCAGTATCCGATATATCGGGCTAATAGCTACCATCAACTGGTCTGTGGTTGGTTTTCTCAGTTTCATCTTCGATTACTGTTGGAACCTTTTCCCGTGTCCTGATCAGCTGGTCTGATTAGTTCTCAAAAATCGCCACATTTGTTTCCTCCTTAAGTTCTTCCTTAGATTCTGTTTATTGTCTGTTGCTCAGATGGCCACTGGTCTTTTCGGTGATGTCGCGAAATACATCCGGCTCAGGTGCGTTACTTGGTTTGGTGGTTCGGTGAGCTTGGCAGTTTCGTTGCAAACGTTTGGCCACGAGGATACATCATCAGTGCGCGTTTGGTTGACACATCAATTTCCGCATCAACTCTGCCAATAAATTCACTTTTGATGCCAGGACTGGTACAGCTACCTTGGCGGTTGTATCAATGCCGGCCACAGATGATATTTCCATCCGGATTGAGAAGGCCAGAGCAGCTTTCGTGAACGTCAATCAACTAAAGCGTCTGTGTGACATTAGTTTATATTCGTAAAGGGTGGAGTTTACAATGCTGCGGTCCGCACCACATACAGGTTAGAAAGCTGGTCGCTTCGCGTTGAGGACGTAAAAGAGCTCTGAGCATTGCCGAAATCTTGTGAGGGGGGAGACATTTCAAGTAGTTAGAGCGCGTACTTACCAACCGGAAGATCTATGGTTCGAACCCGACCTCTGCCTCTCGACTTCCCCTGTCTAGGCTTGGGCAACCTGGCAGTATCCCAGCCCCCGTGCTTCCTTCGGGTGGCATGACAGCTAGGCGCCGGAAGAGTTTTACAGCTGAACGAAGTCTGGTGGGAACACCAGATCAATTATTCTAAATTACGCCGAGCGTTTTTCAGAAGAAAGGTAGATGAGCTGATCATTCTCCATAGATTGTGCTGGCATAGTCACATGCTTCGTATGCCAGCCAGCCGACTTCCTCGAAGTGCCCTTTTCGCACAACCATGCAAAGGTTGGGAATGATCCTGGGAAGGTCAAACGAAGTGGTAGTTAAATATGAAAGCTATTACCAGAATACTCAGCCGCGTTGGCCACTGCCGTTTCCCTGGGGTCGGGACTCGGGAATCGTCAAACATGGCCGTGATTCATCCAAGCTGTTGCCTTCAAAGAGTAGCTCCCTTCCTGATCTCTCCAATGAAAAGTCGACTGATACCGTTGTATTTGTGCATTGATTATGTCAGTACCGCCTCCAACGCATAGCTCTGTATCCCGCCTCCCAAAATCATTGGCGACCGAAATCGTGGCAGTTTGAGCTACTGCACAGCAAACATGCTCCTTTTTAACTGAATGTGATGATGATGATGATCGCTGTCAATATTTGAATATGTTGCCCAGACCATAGTAAGTTGACCCCGGGCTTTTACTCCGCTACCAGTGAAAGGAAGAGGGCCTTCGCTGCGGAGTTATTTATTAGAAAATGCCGACTGAACAGTTACAGACTATTGGACAGGGAAACAAAATTCTCATATGCATCTTGTTTACAAAGACTGAATATCCATCTTCTCCTTGAACGCATCTTCCTGAACTTTCCTGGGTATTCATTCACTATTGCCAAAATCCAAGTAAGTGCTACAAGGCGGCTCCACAAATTCCGCAATAAATCTCACTTTTCAAGAGACGCAAAGTGGATTTACGAGAAAACATACTACTCTGATGCCTCCCCCATCAGTAGTATCACCATTACATTAGGTTTTGCTAATGCTGTAACACCACTTGATGACTTTCGCAGTGCAATAAACTGACTAGAGACGGCTTTTCGTTTATTTAGCCGGTCTACGGCAATTTTGCATTTCCGTTTTCAAACTTCGACCTGGCTTCGCTTGACTCTACCTTTGCTTGCTTCCTCAAAAACGAGGTTACGTTCTCACAGCTACTCCGTTTCAAACTCCATGACATAAGTGTTATCGAAACTACGGAGACATAACGTCGGTGGTAGCCAGGCGCTTGCCAGGACTCTCGCGGTTTGACTTGCGTTATTTGTTCCAGTGGCCAACCCGTTACACCGCAAAACTTTCCCAACAGGTCTGCTTCGCGTGTTTCCATCCTGTCTTTGTTTCGCGAATACAGGCAGTTATTATGCAGATAACTAGCTACCTTCAGATAGTACCCCCTTGATTCCAGTTCAGCATATTATTCAACAGGGTGTTTCTTGCCTCTGATCAAACTGACTTATGGGCACCTGTCGTAGGCTCTCTGTATGAGATTGTGTATTTTGAGCTTGAGACAGCTCATCGGTCCATACTTCGAACCGAAGCTCCACGTCTCGTCTGCTCCTAGCCAGACTCGGGTAACCTGTGAGTATCTCTGTGCCCTCGTGCTTCCTTCGGGTGGCATGAAGGCTAGGCACCGAAAGGGTGTTACAGCTAAACGATTTTAATGGATTTGCGTACATATGTAATGGAATATTTCGCGTCTCGATAAAAAATAATCCATACTGTTGCACACCCGTGAGTTGGACATACTAGATGCAAACCGCGGTGTACATGGTGGTCTTCCGTCTGTGTCACCTAGGGCACTGCCAACAGCCGATTTTTGTGCCCCTTGATCACGAATCAAGGTGGTTTGTTACTAAAACGTCTTGTGATATTACGACACCAATCGAACTAGCCAGATGTCAACTTAGTGTGCGTTGTTCGACTTATGTTATGGCGATTTTAAACGTGGGTATTCAACATGCGAGATGAGCGTGTCAGCCTTATTCCGCCAGCCCACGCTGAATTTATATAAGTTATAACGTCTGGACAGTCGAACGTGTGCATGTTTGTGGAATGCCCAGTGCCTCGAATGACTACACGGTAACTGTCCTTGCTGCGTAGATCCTTAGGTTCGCCTGCCACGAATGTTTGGAGCCTTTTGGACACATTTTTGTGTAATCACTCTTATATATAACATGCCTTTTATTCGGGTGCATCAATATCTCGCAACTAACGCTTTTTTGTGTCTTTTCGTAACACTTCCGCCGATACATGTCAGCGTTTTACTGAGTTACTGTGTATAGCCTTGGTCAGACATGTTGATTCAATGAGCTGTCCTCAGCTCATTCTCAGTGTGTCCGGGATGTGAGCTTCCGGTTCGCTTCCGCCTATCCTGGAATTCAATTCATCTACTGTACCCACCTGATATGAAATGAACTCATCGTCTGGGCAACTGAATGAGTTCGGACTAACCTCCTGTTCTTCCGATTTCCTCCTCTTCCATTTATACCCGACAAATTGGTGTTCGGAACCGGGTCACACGTGTGATTCAGTTCGCATCACCTTCTACCCTGTCTATTTTTCACTGGGTTTCGCTGGCATAGTTTGAGTGACTGGCAAATGTGGCAACGAATACCAGCCTGCTATGTCAGAGCACTGCATCGAACCGTATCACTGATCATCATTAAACCCTTCACTATAAGTTTTCCATCGGTCTCTCTTTTTGTATGAGTGTGTGGTTCGGTGTAGTTTGCGTCCACCGAAGTACTAGTGTAACGGTGGATACTACTGATGGGGCATGTGAGTAGTATGTGGTTTTCTCGTAAATCCGCTTCGTGTCTATTGAAAAGTGAGATTTATTTCAGAATTGTGGAATTCCTTAGTAGCGTTTGTCTATATTTGAATGATAGTCAATGCGTATCCAAGAAAGTTTAGGTAGACACGTTCGAGAAAAAGGCGGATACTCAGTTTTTATAAACAAGATGTGTATGAGGGTTTTGCTTCCCTGTCCAATAGTTTGTAACACTTCAGCTTGTGTTTTCCAGTAAGTAACTCCGCAGCGAAGACCTTCTTCCTTTCACTAGTAGGCGGCGTTTCCATCGTGCTTTTTCACCAAATTATCTTCTGTTTCTCATCCCAATTTTAGGTGATAGAAGAGGAGGCGTTGGGCTCGTCCGATGATGAATAATTACTCCCTTCTGTGTTTTGTACAGATTATCGTGGTCGCTGTAAATAACTGTCGATACAACTTTATTCGTTTTCATTTCTCCCTGTGATTGGGATCTCGGCATGTCTTGGTTTTTTCTCATCAGT